TTCAGAGGACAACTGGGTGAAAGTGTTGTGGTCAGATGAGACCAAAATGGAGCTCTTTGGCATCAACTCAACTCGCCGTGTTTGGAAGAGGAGGAATGCTGCATATGACCCCAAGAACATCATCCCCACCGTCAAACATGGAGGTGGAAATATTATGCTTTGGGGGTGTTTTACTGCTACGGGGACAGGACAACTTCACCGCATCAAAGGGACAATGGACGGGGCCATGTACCGTCAAATATTGGGTGAGAACCTCCTTCCCTCAGCCAGGGCATTGAAAATGGGTCGTGGATGGGTATTCCAGCATGACAATGACCCAAAACACACGGCCAAGGCAACAAAGGAGTGGCTCAAGAAAAAGCACATTAAGGTCCTGGAGTGGCCTAGCCAGTCTCCAGACCTTAATCCCATAGAAAATTTGTGGAGGGAGCTGAAGGTTCGAGTTGCCAAACGTCAGCCTCGAAACCTTAATGACTTGGAGAAGATCTGCAAAGGGGAGTGGGACAAAATCCCTCCTGAGATGTGTGCAAACCTGGTGGCCAACTACAAGAAACATCTGACCTCTGTGATTGCCAACAAGGGTTTTGCCACCAAGTACTAAGTCATGTTTTGCAGAGGGGTCAAATACTTATTTCCCTCATTAAAATGCAAATCAATTTATAACATTTTTGACATGCGTTTTTCTGGATTTTTGTTGTTGTTATTCTGTCTCTCACTGTTCAAATAAACCTACCATTAAAATTATAGACTGATCATTTCTTTGTCAGTGGACAAACGTACAAAATCAGCAGGGGATCAAATACTTTTTTCCCTCACTGTAGCTCCTGAACATATTACCATTCGCAATAATTTAGTATAATGGACTATTTATTCTGATTATAATGGTGATGATTGCTTTATTCGTTGATGACGAGAAATGCTATGAAGATGTATGTTTAATGATGATACCAACGATGATTGAGGAGATTTATGTTTCACGACGATGACCGTAATAATTAATTAAAGATGATGAGACTCTCCTATTAAAAAAGTTATGCATTTATCGTCGTAATGGTACTTTATATGGCTTAAATTTGCCCACTGGAAGATTGTATTGCCCAGTGTAATTCATTTTTGGAGGATTTCCACGATAAGATCTGCACTATCAGAGAACGGCTCGTGTCTGTTGTTCACACACATTCGGCCTTAGACACACCTCCAAATTTCAGTGGAGTTTCCCTTGTTGAGTTTGGTGAGGTCTCCCCACAATGGCTCTTTGAACTAGCCACTCATGCTAAACCTGTCCTTTTGATCCTTTGACCACATAACGACTATCCCAACGCTGTGCGTTCTGCATTACTCAAGACATTTATAAAAAAAAGCCGCAATATGTATAAAACTCAGCTGCCCGGGCTTCTAAAAGATCCTCGCGTCCCGACCATAGTACTCGTGTTTTATCATTCATGCACTGGCTCTGGTGCAATTCTAAATCAAATTAAAATCCTGCTACTAAACTACAAGGCTCTACATGGTATTGCAGCTGCCTACCTCAGCAGCCTGCTCTTTCCTATATCCCTCCACACAATTTATGCTCCCCTGATTGTGGATTACTTGCCATTCCAATCTGTTATTCACCAAATGTGTAGAACAATAATCCCATCCACAGGAGTAACTCTAACTCCGTCGATTATTTTTAATCAAGCCTAAAAACATGTTTTTAATTGATGGCTTTTCTTTCTGATTGATTCTATTCCAGGGAGACCGTGACATTTTAAACCATGTTTTATAGCAGTTCCAATGATTTGGATTAATCATTGATTGTATTGTATTATGATTGGGTTACTGGTGTGTCATTGTCGTTTTTTACCTTTGACGTGCAGTGCTTTGAGAATACCAATGTGATATGTGCTTTATAAAACAGAATTTATTATCATTACGATGTATTTCTAATGATGACGACTAAGACGCGCAAATACCACGCTCTGGAGAACGCACTTCGCACAAACCTGGCAGCAGCAGCAGCAGCAGGTGGACCCCGATCTGCCGCTCCTCTCGCCCGAGAGTCTTCCCAAAGTCGACGCCCTTCCACGCCGAACCCGGGGCTTAAAAACCTTCCACCTCGTGTCCCCTGGTGCTGCCTGAATAGCCCCAAAACTCCCATTTTATCCCTCCCCACCCTCATCCACCCCTTGTCCCCTATCCCCCCCTTCCCCCCGGCCCTCCTGTCCCTCCGTGGATTATTAGCGAATAAAGTGCTGGCTCATGTTAATTGCGCTGCGTGAACGTAGAACGCGGGCGCGGGCACACGGGAAGTGCTATCGTTTGTGGATCGGATCTCTGGGGACCTTTCAGGATACGAATGAGCCAAGTAGGATTTTGTTGTATGAGGATTTTTGTAAAGCGGTGTTTGTACCATTAAAATTGCTTGATATTGATGATGCTGATGTTCATAATGTTTGGTGATTGATGATGATTTTTGAGATTGGTAATATTTGAGATTCATGACGATGATGAGCCATTGACTGAATAATAATTTCATCTTGTAACGCCCGCTCAGAGAGAGGAGGAACCAGATGAGTGGGAAGGCAGCAGCCAGGCAGTGTTCCAGCACCAAACAGTTTGATGCCTCTTTTACAAAATGATCTTGCTAAGTCATCGCAGTAGCGGAGCGATGTTGCTATGTGCAATCCCAATTTAGTTATTTGGAGACAATTTGTTTTGGCATCGGAATGTTTGGCCAATACCAGTTATATTGTATGTTTTGATTACATTTGCAGAACAGGGGGAGAACATTCAGGCACCCAAATCTCGAATCGACCCCGAGACCCTTCTTGCTGCGAGGCAAAAGTTTTACCATCGGGCCACCCTGCCACTCAACATACATGCGTACATACACATGTAACAGTATTGCAATCCCTATACATATGGTGTGCATTACTATATATTTGTACCCACGTATGTACAGTGTTTATTTTTTAAGTCATTGTGCCCATCTCGTGTATGTGACAATGCAACTTCCACGTTTCTGTTAACGTCCGTAGGGGGAACCGACAAGTATGTACTCTGCAGATGAGCGCAATCAGTTACATAGTTCATCCGGACGTGAGCGCAGCGAGACAATGGGACGTGGCGAAACACGGACTCGGTGAAATGCAATGAGACGCACCGAGGCAGAGATGCAGTGAGACGCAGTGGGATGCAGCAAGACTCACCGAGGAACTGCGATGTATTTAAAGGATAAAGAATATGCATGGAAAGGGTAGTTAACTTATCAGTAAATAATGGCCATATCAGAGTCACTGAGTTAATAAAAAAATATCTGTTGCTTATGAGTGCATTGAAAAAGGTTATCCGTGGAAATTGACGTAATTGTGGTTATCATCGTCTGACAGTATGCGCCTTATAAGCCTCACAGATTGTAGAGTTTTAATCGAGAGACGGATGTAGGCGTATGCTGAGTGAAAAAAAAAACAATTTAAGCGGCCTTTATTCGTACTGGAGGTACAGCAAAATCGCACAGTCACCCAACCACTTTGAACTCGTCTTTTTATGTTTGTACGAAAGACGAATAAAACATATATTACATGAAAACAACTCAAGGTTTGAAGGCTGACTGACTGCGTTTAGCACGATTGGCTACGTACATACATACTGCTTTTCTCTTACTATCCTCTCCCCTGAAATGGTCATCCCAGGAGGGAAGGAGGGACAGACCGACTGTCACGTCCAAATCACGTGCAGGTTGCTAGTACATTGAACACTTTCCCAATGCAGCTTTATCGAACGCGTGTTTCGACTATACACGGTTTACCTAATGAGGTCTGTTTACCGGAACTCGGGAGTGATGTTTCGGCTAAGATTACAATTGCCGCATCTAAAAGTGCTTGGAGAGTGCTGCAACCGATGGGAGATGTGAATCAGTTGACCGTGAGAACGCTAGATTTAGCATGTGTGTATTTGTGTGCATTTATGTTTTGGCACAACGCAAATGTTCCAATGTTTCTGCATGCATCTCGCCGTCCACTCGCTGAGTACATCAGCCAGACGGACACCTAGATGGCGAATGATCAACATGCTCACGGACACCTGCACAACGCAAATGGTCACAATCATTGCAGAATAAATATAGCTGTACAGTCGTTGAGGGAGTTAGTCATATGAAGAATATGAAGCTAGTCATTTTGACACCTAGATGGCGAATCACTAACGTTTAAGTGACAGTGTTAGGGGCGAACTTCAGGCTGGGAAGTCAGGGTGAGCATTGGGCGTGAGTGCCACTGTTGGAAGAGCGCTGTAATGGAGACAGGTTTTGTGTTGAAGATTTGTTTTAAAATGAAGTGTACACACACTATCAATGGAGAGCGACGTCAGCATTCTTTAGTACAATAACAAGAGTGGAAATCATGCGGTATCAGTTAAATAGGGAGGGGTGATCATGTCGATCCTAGGAATGTAACCCTATTTTCCCCTAAGGTCTATTGTTTGTCAAACACAGATTAACCCAACACGTCATAGCTCGGGAACGTAACCCCCGCGTTCGGCGGGGGTCTGCCTGTATTCATATAAGGAAAAGGTTTTAATGGGCAGCATTGCAGTTGCTGGCTCACGCCACTGCTTGCGTCAAAGGGAGCTCGAGTGCCTCTCTAATGACTGTTGAAAGTGGTGATAGATACCCACCTTTTACCCCACAACCTGTCGTATCTATTCATACGCATAACTTTACATGTCAACTTGTAACGCAGTGCCGCACAGTTCGGTCACGAAGAGCGAGAAGAACTCAAGAGGCGCGAGGAGCAACAACAGACGAGCGGGAAGACAGGAGCCAGGTGGTGAGCCGACGAAAATTGCCCCAGCTCTGCCGTCCTTTATATATATTAAGATGCTTTCATCCAATTGATGAGAAGATAGGTGTCGTTGGTAGACAGAGGCGTGGGGATTCAAGAAAAGCACCCAAGGTTTAATTTGCCATGCCGGGAGAATGAAATAAACCAGTCACATCTGCATTACAAGTCCATCAATATACTAACCAATGCATCACGAAGGCATGATCCTGCATATATCCATTTCTTCTACGTCCCAAAAATGCTACGTGCCCCTGCGGCAAGTGAACGCCCTGCAGCTGACAATGTCAAGAAATGCATTGCGGAATGGGCGGTTGAACGAGGCATATAGAATGGGGTTGACTGCCGAGCTGAAGTAGCCAATCCACGTGACCGTCCCCCACATCACAGCGTCTGTCTGGTAGTCTATGATGACGTCCATCACGCTGATGATGTAGAAGGGCAGCCAGGATAGCAGGAAGAAGCCGATGATCATGCCCAGGGTCTTGGTCGCGTTGTGCTCGCGCTTCATGGCCAGCCACGTGCGTTTGCTGTTGGCGTCTCCCACAATGGAGGCGGAGGAAGAGGAGTCAGCGCTATGCTTACCCGCAGCGTGAATCTGATTGGCCTGAGCGCGAGCCACCCTGAAGATCTTGGCGTACGCCAGGGACAGGATGATGAGGGACAAGAAATAGGGGCAAATGCCGATCATGAACATCAGGCCGAAGTTGACGATGAACACGCATTCGTCCGGGCAAGACGTTCTCTCAATGACGCCGCGTGACAAAACGTCACTCAAGCTGACGAGGATGGGCGCTGAGAAAAGCGCCGAGCACAGCCAGCACATCAGGAGCATGAGCGCCACCGTGCGGTTGGTCACCCGCTGTTGGTAGCGCAGAGGGTCGCAGATGGCCACGTAGCGGTCGAAGGCGATGCAGCCCAGGTGGAGGATGGAGGCGTTTGTGAACCAGTAGTCCATAAAGTAGTGGATCCTGCAGAAGGTCTGCCCGAAGAACCAGCACCTGTAGACCTCGTGCGTCATGCTGCAGGGAATGATCACGGCGCCCACCATCAGGTCTGCCACTGCCAACGATATCGTCACTGCATTGGTGCGCGTCTGCAGCTGCTTGAAGCGGAGCACTGCGCAAGCGACGAGGAGGTTTCCAATGATTGTGGCCACGATGAGGAGGATGAGAATAGACAGAACAAAGGCCTGGTCCGTCGGCTCGAGGCCTGGGCCTGTGCAGTTTAACTGGAGGAAGGGCGCGGTGCATTTGCCCAAAGTAGAGTTCGTTTTTGGCATATTCTCATCCAGCAATACCAGTTATCCTATGAATCTTATTTAGAAGAGATCATCTTAAAGAGGATCACAGGATAATTTAGATAACCCGCTGTGAGTAAAACCGAATGTCATGTAAATCCAAAATTGTGCCAAATTTGTTCTTGTGTCAAGCGAGCTTACAGTCGTGAGACATTGGTGGAATTTTCAAAACCCTGTGGTAGGGAGAGAAAAGATACGCATTATATAAACATTTTAGATAGAATTATGCATTTGTTGTATCATGCTCATCTAAGCATGATGCCACCTGTAGCAGTTCCTTGTCACCTATCTTAATGTTACCAATCCCAGTCTTCCACCACTCATCATCCATCTTCATCCCGATCTCCCTATCATCTTACTCGAGTCATGCTCCTGTCTACTCTGCTCTTTCCTCCCCTCAAGGCAAAACTCGGCTACTTGTGACCTGTTTTCCAAAAACCATAAACATTGCAGCAGAGGTGGCAGGAAGTAGCCAGTAACCCCCTCAACTTCTCACTGCTTCCCCCATCGCTTCTCGAAAGCTATTTTTTCCCACCAAAAAAAGCTCAATCCATCGTACACAAAGCAGCCCTCATCCACTACAGCATTAACGACTACTTCCTTAACCTCATCACTGAAACATGATGCATGCCCTGATACATTGCCACCACACTGAAATATTTCTCCGCACCTGGTTTCATGGCCCCGCGTGCTGTGCGCACATCCGGCTCCCACGTGGGTGGCTTGGCCATCATCCGCAATATATGTCTCACCATTAAGTGTCGTCCAATGTCGCTCAGACCCACTTCAATTGAGAGTGGTGAACGACATTTTGATCACTGCTGACTGGCTCACTCAGTATTTTTTTTATATTTTATTGATCGCTTGCAAAGCACAATGGGTGTATCTGAAATAGTTCCCTGCTGGTTCACATCTTATCTGACTTATCGGGAACAGCTCGTATCTATTGGAGATTTGAAATTTGCATTTGGGGTTCCTCTCGACTGAAAGTTTCATTGCTATGCGAATGGGCCCACATTTTCGTACACAATGAGTCCGATCTCACTTCATCTGCCTCCTACGCTTCCACCAACAGTTGGATTCATTCCTCCAATTGAAGTGTAGAAACGGGGGAAATGCCAATTGGATTCTCCCACCAACTTAAACATCTGCACCCTTCGATGTTACGATTGATGGCCAGGTAATCGCTTCTGCACGGGATGTCAATAATATAGGGGTCATCTATGATCCCGCAATGGCTTTTGAGGCTAATGTTAAAATATCACGAAGATTTAGTTTTTACATCTTCGGAAAGTTCAATCCTTCTCTTTGTTTCAGATGCAGAAAAACTGCTCCTTGCCTTCATTTAATCTCCCCTTGACTTGCGATGTATTGCTCCCTGGTGTGGCTACGAAGGTACTTGACAATGCATGGCATGTTCTGGACGTGGCGGCCAGGGTGTACACCAGAACACATTCGGAGCACATAACCCTTGTGTTGGCTTCCTTGCACGGGCTTCCAGTTTCACATCGGAGTCAGTTTAAAATTGTATTGCGAACCTACAAAGCTCTGAACCACATTTTCCCGGACTACCTTAGATACATTTATGCTTCAACCATATGCCGCATCAAGGCCTCTAAGATCTGGAAATTAATATTGTCCCTGCACTCCCAGGTTATAGAAAGGTTTCGGTTGATGTGCCACGTGTTTTTCCTGTATAGCCCCCAGACTATGAAACTCTCTTCCTCGAGATCTCATGATCTTCGAGTCTGTGGAAATTTTAAATCACGTCTTAAAATGTATGGACACTTTGTTTATTCAGTTTTCAGTTAATTCGGTGAACGGCTTTTAGCATTCATTTTTATGATTTTGTCGTTTTAACGAGTTATTTTTATGCTGAGTATTTTTTTTCTGTCTTGTATAGCGCGTTTAGATCCTCGATGAAGGGCGCTATATTGATATAACTATTATATCGAGTTCCAGTCTGCGAGTCAACTCTTTGTTTCCAAACTATCTCATTTCTTATTCTGTACGGCCCTACAGATAGTGACATAAACATTTTACGACGGAGCATTCCGACTTTATATATCTCCTTCTCTACAGCAATTGGGGATTTATCATCGCTCTTCGTTTCAATTGCCCCCAGCTCATCAGAAGCAGAATTTAATCACCGCCTTGGCGACATCCTCTCCTCCTACAACCTACCAGCGGTCATCTATGGACCAACTCGTGCGTGAAGTACGGGTGTTGGGAGCATATTGGACCTAAAAGTTTAGCCCAAATATTAATGTCAACTCAAATAACTCAGAACATTCCCAGTATCTTATTCGGATCATCACCTCATAACTGTCAATTAGCTACGCTATAAAACCACCCATCACTCTCGCTAATTGTAGCTGCTTTAAATTGCACCTCACTGAAGAAGCTACCCAATTTCACCTCCTCTTTTGCGTCATCATCACCATCTGACGCCACAATCAACAGGACCTCAACCTTGGAAACGTCGTGGACACGTTAGCGCCCGTCAAATGCTTAATCAACCGGTTCCCCTCTCACGTCACACGGTAGGCTTTTGGCAGCAGCTGTTGCTTTAAAGCACAGCGGACTTGAAACTTACATCGTCTTGCCTGTAAAGCCACCACCGGCAAGCTCACCATGGCCTCACGCACTTCATATATTGTCGAACGCACACACTCTACTGCTAATCACCCACGTCAATTGTTATTTTAATAGTATTGGACATACGTACACACATACATATATACATACCTGTGCGTGTACAGAGGCAAGTAGCGATAGGTCGTCATGCATCGAGAAGGCTACAGCTACCGAGCAGGCGTCTGCTCCCTGTGTGTGAGCAGCCTTTATATGTGCGCACAATTTACATTGAGGGCTCCAAGAGACTGGGAGGTCCCTGCGGACTCAGCTAATTCCTGATCTCTAGGGATGTTTACTATTAATGAGTGTTTATTTTAGAGATGGGTTTGAACAGACGAGGGATTCCGTAGGACACTTGACAATGACTAATTAGCTTCTACATTTTTTTCACGAGAGATGTCAAATTGTAAGTTAGTGGTGGGCACACGCGCACCTTTGGGCTGCTGACAAGGTCACTGTTGTTGACGATGTGCATTGGTGAGCGCTTTCCCACCATCATCATCAATGACTACCACTCATCCCCATCATCATCGTCATCTTTACATTTTGAATACAACTAGTATAATAAGCATCATAATCACCCTTACAACTCAAGTTGTTTGCGTGGTATGACGATACTACGATATATACAGTACCATACAAGGTCCACAAACATTTAATTGGCCGTTATGCGAATTATCCTTACATCGTGATTATGGTCAATACTATTTTTTTAAATTTAACATCCTGACAACATTAAATTACGAAATATATATTTAATTGTAATTCAACACGAGCCTGGTACATAGCACAAATCATAACGATAGGAGGGGGCACATACGCTGAACAAAAGCTCTAACGCATTGCTCCTGGGTTCAGGGAAGGGGGACAAGTTGGGCTCATTGATTAGCAGAGGCACACCACTTGGTAGACGGCGAGAAAGTTCGTTCCAGAGCCACCACGATGAAGCTGTGGAACAGCCTCCTGAGCCGAGACATCCCCCAACATGAACTGGACCCAAATCTGGCGGGCACCCCAGTCTGTCCCAAGATCACTGCCTCTGAAACTCATCCAATTTAAATTCATCCATGGTACCTATTTAGCCAATCAGATGAGAGATACATTTTTCAGGGACATTTTACTGGACTGCCGTAGACGCCCTTCAGGCACGATTCAGACAAACCTCCACGACTTCTGGTCATGTGTGGGGGCTAACGCCCCCCTCCTCCTCTCCCCCCTCCTCGGCTCCTTCTCGCCGGGCTTCCGCCTCCCCGCACCAGCGTCCTCTCTGAGGGACATGGCTAGTGGCTGGCTCACCACCGCCTGGAGTTATCCCACACACTCCCCACGTACACCACTACTAATGCGGAGGTGGCTGCGTGCACGCGCGTGCCCGAGGAGGCGCACCTTCGCTCACCACGGCTTGCGCTAAAAATAGCCGTATGAATATGCACGCGCCCCTCCCCCCTCCTGTGGGATCGGCTTTAATCCGCTGTGCAAACACACACGGGCACAGGCATTCGGGCAAAACGACGGCCGTATTGATGATAATATACGTACGCTTCACACGCCCGCACGTACTCGCACCACACCTACGCTCTCCCCACACACACAAAAATCACACCACACGGATCCTCTGTGCTCAAATTTATTAATGGCACGTCAATAGCAAGCCCTGGGCGGCTCGGAGTAAATACCCAACGAGCAGTGCCGAGCCTATCCCTATTCAATCCCTAAGTGTACTCTCCCCCTACTTCCCACCTCGCAGACGTACTCATGGTGTCGCACGGATGCAGTGGGAGTCGGAGGGATGAGGGTACGAGAGGTCTCTGCCTGGGGTCGAGTCGTAGCTGCACTCACCAGCGTCCCTCGGACGCTGCGAGCGGCTGGGAGTCTGACCGGGTAGCTCAACGGCTAGAGGAGCACTGCTCAACGTTGTTCTCTTCCCTCCCTTTGTTCCCTCGGAATCCAAAAATCCAGGGTCACGTGGTGTTACCCTGCACGGCTAATCAGGGTGCCTACCTTTCGATTTTAAACTGATGCCCCGTCCTTGCCTGAAGCGGTGCCTCCGGAGCGCCTTCACCCATTGTTTACGCACCCGTCCTCCCCACCCCCGCCACAACCGGTTTGGTCGGGCTGGCCGTCCCGCGGATGCCCAGCTTCAGTCGCTTCAGTAATTTACCTCCCACCTCCTCATATGTGCTGCTCACTGGGTCTTTGTCCCCGAAGCCCTATCTCTCTGTGCTGTGAGTGTTCTCATTGAGTTTCGTCGTGGGGGGGGCCGCAATGCAATTCGGCCTGGGGGGGGGGGGGGGGGTCGGCCAATCTCCTGGCACTGGGAAACCGTGGGACATCCCCACTAGGGGCCCCTCGGGTAAAAACCCATGGTACCAGCAGAGGCTTAGCTAGAGGGGGGGGGGCAGGGGGGTACATATGTCCCCGGGCGCCAAGGTAAAGGGGCGCCAAAATGAGGCTTATAACGTGACATTATAACTTATTGCGGCGGGCGCGGCAGCCTGAAACTACTGCACAAATCCACACCTCAACCTAAAAGTGTATATATCCCGCCACACACAGCCTACATGTCATGTAATTACATTTTGGTACGCGCGCCTATTAAGAACTTACATGGAAGAACGTCCCAAACAACAGACAGGCGCAGTCTTTCAGCCTTAGTCAACAACGAATGTGATAATAAAAAATCACAGACCATTGTTTGTCAACTGTGACAACCACAGCTTAAACTTAGCAGGAGTACACTCAGCTAAACAGGATCCACTTGTCGTCACATTTTTTGGAACAGTTGAAAGTATATATTTGTTTTTCTCTCTTTCAACAATTCGTTGGGAAGAGTTAAAAAAAGCTGTGCCCATCACAGTAAAGCGGGAGTCTGAAACACGCTGGAGTGCACGATCAGAAGCTGTTAAAGCTATCTATGAAGGACTGGATGAACTAGTAGGGCTGCTAGACAAATTATCGGAGGACGTAACTACGACGCCTGAAACCAGAAGTGGTGCAGAACAGTTACAGGCATGCGCATTCAATTTTACTTCATTGTTTTATCACATTTCTGGAATGTTATAATTGGAAAAATTGATCATGTTTAGAAGCGCTTACAGGATCCTACTATGAATTTCAAGGAATCAGCAACTGATCTTGAATCTTTGGAGCATGAATTTGTCAAGCTTCGTGATGATTTGAGCCAAGTTGCTGTAGAAAACGCCAAAACAAGATGCACAGCCTGGGGGATCGATGTGGACAGAAGAATTAGGCGACGTCGGTAGATGCCAGGAGAACTGGTAAGAGATGCAGGACTTTCAGCAGAAGAAGAAATTGTGCGCGTTATGAAGAGCGTATTTTATCGACTTCAACAGGAGATGTCAACACGGTTTTTACGACTAAAAGACCTGAACACAAAATTTGGATTTCTGCTGGACGCCAAAACTCTTCTATCCGACACAGATGTCGATGCAATTCGTTGAAATTGCACAGATTTTGGAAATTTCTATGACACCGACATCAATGGCCACGAACTTTTCACAGAAATTGGAGATTGCAAAATGCTGCTCAGTAACCGGAATGAGGTTCTACCAGAAACTCCTTTGGATCTTCTTGGTTTTATTGTGTTTTATGGAGACGACATATTTCCGAGTTTGCGAATTTCACTGCAAATTTTATTACAATAGCAGTTTCAATTGCAAGCTGTGAGCGGTCGTTCAGCAAATTGAAACTTATTTTGTCGTATTTGCGTGCTTGGGACAAGATCGTCTCAGCGATTTTGCTCGTCTTAGCGTTGAAAGAGAAACATTGTAAGAACAGATTTTGATTACGTGATTGACCAATTTGCGACAGTGAAATCAAGAAAAAATAATCTTTTGTAGACTGTCAACCAGTCTATCACAGTGACTGAGTGAGCCATGTAATATAATTTCTATAAATTTGCTTCTTTAAATACAATGTTTCAATAAAATTGTAATTGTTATTCCTTATTCGATGTAATAGGAAAATGTGATTAAATAGGGGGGGGGGGGGGCGCCAATTTTATAGTTCGTCCCCTGGCGCAAAATATTCTAGCTACGCCTCTGGGTACCAGGTGTCCCCCCCACGAGACCCTACGTGGGTGCGTGGGTGTGTTTAGTGGGGGTGTGCGTGCGTTCGTGTGGAGAGGTGCGAGGAGATATCAGCACTGGCGGAGTTTCTCCGTTGTTGTTGCACCACACATGCCCAGAAATTGTGAAATTTTACGCGACTATTACTATTTTTTTTTCAATTCAATAATGCACGATCCCGTTACGGTGCACCGCGAGACTCGTTCGGTCCGACTACATCATTCAAATGGTACATTCAGGACGCAATTGGGCCATTTATTAGGAGGGAGGGGACACGACGGTGGAGTGGGCCCGCGGCCCTCATAAACTGGGGGCCTCATGGGTAAAGTGTGTCGCTTAAATGGAGGGAGGGGGGAGGGGCCGGTGTGTATTCATATTTACCATGCACGCCTCCGGAACTCGTCACCAATCTCTGAGGGGTTTGATCCCTCTCTATCGATCCCTATCTCCTAACCTGTCCATGTGGCCAGAAGGCGTTGGAATATAATTGCACTGTACCCAGGGGACATCTATGGGCAATTATGCGGAATTTCCATGTATTTCCCTCTTTTTTCTTTGGTCAGGTGTGCTCCATGCATACATTTTAAACTGGATAAGCTGGGGTGGGGGGAGCATGGGGGGTTCGTGGGCCCACTGTCGGAGAACGTCATATCCACCTTCAGGTCTGTGGTGAAATCTCACGGGACTCAAACCTCTGCCACATTTTCTTAGTTGCCGGTTTAATGACAGAATCCTATTTAAGGAACGAAACAGGAGGATGTCTCCACAAATCTGGCTGTCGCCTGATGAAGCTAGTTGTAATTACTGGCAAAACATCGTACTCAGATTGTGAATGTTGTGGATTTGCTCTCCAACACATCGGTATGCTGTACTAGGAACGAATTGGCATGTTCTGTTTCCGTAGCAAACCTTACTAATCGGTTGTTGGGTGGTTGTGGGTTTAACGACACATTTATATTTACGCAATTTAACCAAAAAAATATATTATGTATGCTATTGGTCGCGAAAGCCTAAGAATTAAACTGGCAGAATCCTGATAATTGTTTTTTTACCCTTCTATCTGGCAACAAAACTGACACCTTTTTTTTTACAAGGAATCATGTTTGCATAGACCACAATACCTGCAGTCATAAAGCTCTCATACTCTGATGGTGCATTGTCTTTGAGTTTTGCGCCTTTTGGCGTCATCTGGTCCAACCCATGTGAGACTAGGCTCTAAGGAAAGCTGTCTCGGGTGTGGACCAATCAACTTCAAGGACAGTGCACATTATCAGAGTTATGTTTTTTGTTTGCATTATGACTGCAGGTATTGTGGTCTATGCAAACATGATTCCTCGTAAAAAAAGGTGTCAGTTTTGTTGCCAGATAGAAGGGTAAAAAAACAATTATCAGGATTCTGCCAGTTTAATTCTTAGGCTTTCGCGACCAATAGCATACATAATATATTTTTTTGGTTAAATTGCGTAAATATAAATGTGTCGTTAAACCCACAACCACCCAACAACCGATTAGTAAGGTTTGCTACGGAAACAGAACATGCCAATTCGTTCCTAGTACAGCATACCGATGTGTTGGAGAGCAAATCCACAACATTCACAATCTGAGTACGATGTTTTGCCAGTAATTACAACTAGCTTCATCAGGCGACAGCCTGATGACAATGGCAGAATCCTCTTCCCTGAGCCAGTACGCCTCGGATAATCTATAGCTGACTATGGGCGTCTCCAGCCAGCTTATGATTGGGCGAATTGGTGTGTCTAGGTTTTTATCATGTAATGGCATTCCCTAATCTGTAGGTATCTAAAACAAATAAGAGTAGGGGATATTACAATCGATCAGTACTTTTTCAAAAGGCAGCCCCCTCCCATCCACATGATTTGACTATGCAGGCTAGAGTCCCTCCAGCTATTCCAACCTATGATATTTCCCCCCCCTTTAATGTATTGTATCGTGAAATGTGATATCGTAGCAAAGCAGCATAATTACAGTGAGCGCCACTGTCGTGATCAACATCGCCATGACAATAATCATCATTCTAATTCATTACTTGCTCCGTGCCCTGGTCTCTTAGCCACCTGGTGAACTTAAACACGTTTATGTTTTTGTAAAATAAATGAAAGGAAGTATATGTATTTATATAAGCTGAATGTATAACCCTATAATTCCTTGCCTACAACACTACTGGCTGAAGGGCCTCCACTAGAGGGAGCCCTCGAGAGCCCCCCTGGAGATTATGTAGCAGGACTGTAATCTTACACGCTTGGAAGAGGTGAGAGCTACCCACACTTTAACCCACCATTCACGTCCTGCATGGTGCACCGGTCGACCGTACGGGGTGGGTGGGTTGAAGAAATGTGTCCGTAGTGTCAGCTCTCGCGCTGGGAGATTGAACATCATGGTGGAATAATCCTACGTATTCATTTATATGAAGCGGTTCCAAAATTATGGAAAATGACCTGCTGGTGGGGTCATGACGCACTAGTGGGGTCACGACCCACTGGTAGGGTCATGACCCGACTAATGGAGTCACGACCCACTGGTGGGGTGGGGTCATGACGCACTAGTGGGGTCACGACCCACTGGTAGGGTCATGACCCACTAGTGGGGTCACGACCCACTGGTGGGGTCATGACCCACTAGTGGGGTCACGACCCACTGGTGGGGTGGGGTCACGACCTATTGGTGGGGTCCCAAGAGGTATTGCGGTGGGTCGCACTGTAAAGCACATTGAAATGTAAACATTGTTTCTTTTATAAACTAATAAAATAATGGCCCTTGATATATATGACAATAAAACGCACGATAGATACAATCACTACTATATTAATTCGAAATAAATAAAAACATTTCACTCCCCCAACTGTGTGTGGAAAGATCTGGACCAGAGAGCACCCACGTGCTCCTACTGAGCAGCACCTCGCCCTTGCATCGTGGTAGTTCTGGTGGTGGTGATGGTTCCTGCATTGCTTCTCAACCTGTTTCACTCCACGGTACCACACTCACTTCCAAGTTCGGTTGGGAGGAATGGAATGCGTTGTACCTGAGAGAATTCACGATCCGTGGTTCATACTCGTCTCTTTGGAGAGCAGGGAAATCAAGTGGTACTGTCAAAATCCGTGACGACAATTTGCCAAACTGTGTGAGTCTTCGTGTGTGTCTAGATGTCTGTCTGTGAGTGCATGTGTCTACGAATGTATTTAATTATCTGAGTGTTTGCGAGTGTATTCCTGTTGTTTTGTTTGTATCTGTGTGTGTCTCCATGTATCTGTGTCTGTTTGCCCAACTGCATCTTCGCACTGCGCACTGCATTCATTCATTCAAAGGTATGCTCCTCTGATAACATGACTTCCACAATGTGTAATGTTACCCTGTTTCTTGGTAAGGATTTTTACTTGTGCAATCCTCTGACGTCGAGGTCACCAGCGACCACTGTTTTTCATTGTCTCACTGGGCATGAATCCCTAAAAAATATCTGGCTACTGAGCTGGTTCGCGCCTTGGGAAAGTTTGGGAACCCTTGATTTGTGCTACGATCCAAATAGGTCCTTATTCCGTGCCCCCACTGCGAAGGCCCTGCAACTGACAAGGTCGCGGAAGGCGGTGCGGAACGGGCGGTTGAACGAGGCATACAGAACGGGGTTGACCGCCGAGCTGAAGTAGCCAACCCACGTTACTGTCCGCCGGAGCACAGCGTTCGTCTGGTAGTCTATGATGACGTCCACCACGCTGATGATGTAGAAGGGCAGCCAGGACAGCAGGAAGAAGCCGATGATCATGCCCAAGGTCTTGGTCGCGTTGTGCTCGCGCTTCATGGCCAGCCACGTGCGTTTGCTGTTGGCGTCTCCCACAATGGAGGCGGAGGAAGAGGAGTCAGCGCCATGCTTACCCGCAGCGTGAATCTGACTGGCCTGAGCGCGAGCCACCCTGAAGATCTTGGCGTACGCCAGGGACAGGATGATGAAGGACAAGAAATAGGGGCAAATGCCGATGACAAATGTGAGGCCCAAGTTGACGATGAACACGCACTCGTCCGGGCAAGACGTCCTATCCATGACTCCGTTCGATAAAACGTCACTCAAGCTGACGAGGATGGGCGCCGAGAAGAGCGCCGAGCACAGCCAGCACATCAGGAGCATGAGCGCCACCGTGCGGTTGGTCACCCGCTGTTGGTAGCGCAGAGGGTCGCAGATGGCCACGTAGCGGTCGAAGGCGATACAGCCCAGGTGGAGGATGGAGGCGTTGGTAAACCAGTAGTCCATGAAGTAGTGGATCCTGCAGAAGATCTGTCCGAAGAACCAGCACCTGTAGACCTCGTGCGTCATGCTGCAGGGAATGATCACGGCGCCCACGAGGAGGTCGGCCACTGCCAGCGATGTCGTCACCGCGTTGGTGCGCGTCTGCAGCTGCCTGAAGCGGAGCACGGCGCAAGCGATGAGGAGGTTACCAATGATGGTGGCCGCAATGAAGAGGATCAAAATGGACAGCACCAAGGCCTGGTCCGTTGGCTCGAGACCTGGGCCTGTACAGTTGAACTGGAGGAAGGGTGCGGCGCATTCGCCCAGAGTAGAGTTTGCTTCCATCATATTCTCGTCCACAAATAACAGCGATCAGATTAATCTTCTTTTGAGGAGGTCCTCTTCATTAAGGGCCACGGATTAATTCAGTTCAGAAGACTGGATGCGGTGCATATAAACGAAAAATGTGCCAAGAATGCTTCTATATCAAACGAGCAGCTCACGTTTAACAGTCTTGAGATATTAGTGGAATTTCCACATTCCTGTGGCAGGGGTTGGGGGGGGACATATAGAGACGTTACGGACAGATTGATGCATCTGTGATATAACATTGATTATTAGGCTTACGATGTACTCGTGCATATAGGAAAAACTTTCCCAACGCATCTTTGTTGAAAGCGTGTTTCGGCTATACACGGTTCACCTAATGAGGTCCTTTTTCCGGAACATGGTTGTGATGTTTCAGCCATACACGGTTTGACGCTGCTAAGAATATCATCTACACATCGAAAAGTAGTGCCGTGAGATCCCTGCATCTGTTGGAAGTTGTCAATGAATCGACTGTGAGAACGATGTATTTACCATGTATGTAATTGTGTGCATTCATGTTTTTTGGGTGACAATGCAACACACACTGCATAACAGCACAATGCAAATATTCAAACGTTGCCGCATACAGTACATCTAGTTGTCCACTCGTTGAAGACGTCAATCATACGGACGCCTAGATGACGAATCATCGCCATTCTCACTGCCAACTGCACAATGGCATAACACAAGTGTTCACACATTGGAGCTTGCGTCTCGCCGTCCAGTCATTGAGGATGCTCGTCAGACTGACGCCTCGACGGTGAATCATTCACGTTCAGGTGACGGCGTTAGGGGCGAGTGTCGGGCGTGAATAATGCAGTCCGGCAAGAGTAAGTAAGGGAGAGGGGGGGTTGATGTGAAATTGAAAAATAAAGAGTGTACACACACACACAAGAAATTGAGAGCGACTCAGCATCACAAGGGCAGAAATCATATAGAATTGGTTAATTGAAGAGAGAAGCGGTGATGCTTTCGGACCCAGGAACGCAGCCCTATCTTTCCCACAAGGTCAATTAATTATTTGTCAAACACCGTTTTGCCCAACACGGCATATTCTAGGAATGTAACGCCCGCGTGTGCACGTCATGTGTAATAGGTGCATGTCACCCTTGCAGCCACTAGAACGGCTACTCTTAACTATAGATGACTCGTGACAATGTATTGACTCGCCGTTGGTTGAGGCGGGATGGAGCTGGGTGGGGTCGTTGGGAGAAATGGGGCAGGGGGGTGAATCGATTCGGCTAAGAAGTTGCGCAATTAATTCAGCAGCAACAATTGCACATTTTCTACCACTCATCTTAAACACATTTTCATTTTAAACTAAACTACACTTTTATTTTAGCAGGTAAGGCCCACTGAGCCTTACCTGGTGAAATCCGAAGCGACCTGGCAACAAATGATAGCTCAACGGAAGTGGCTTATCATGTCGAAATGTTTATAGCAGCCAAATACTTGAAACGCGTGTTTCTACATGAGGAGGGAAAACTGAAGGACCTGAACAAAAATCAACGAGACCACGGGGAAAACATGCAAACTCTAAATATACAGCAGGCGTCAGGGTCGGGATCAAACTCACGACCTCCTGTATACCAGGCGAGGTAGTTAACATTTCACCACCGCGGTGCCACATTTTATAGGGCACCACCGGCCGGAGTTGTCCCTGTGCTGTACACGGTGACTCGGGGCCACTTGGAGGCGATCATTTATTTTGTGCATAAACCCAATTGAGCAACCAGCATAATTTCACTTTTAAAGTGGTTCTGTACACTACAGAGGTGTCGATGTTCATTACACGGCTGCCAAATAAGGCCGCCGCTCGACAACATCCACACATTGATTCTCAAATCATGCTCGAACGTTGCTTGCACCGCTGATTGTCCATCTGGCAAATCTTTTATTCAGCGAGGACTGTGTTCCAGACCGGTTCAAAATGGCGCAGCAAACACGGCTACTGAAGGTTGGCTTGAGCCACAGTGACCCCGCAAACTATCGCCCGATTTCAAACCTGAGTACGATTTCAAAGGTTCATAGAGCTCCTCTGTCTGAGGTGGTTACTTCCCCATGTTGCTGCGACGAGCAGATTCAACCCGTTAAAGTAGGCTTACCAGAAGTTCCACAGTACCTATATGGCTCTATTAAAGATCACTGATGACCTCTACAAGATCATGGATGATTGGTGCGCCGCAGCATTGGCGCTCTTGACACCATCGGCCATGAAATACTCATTGGGTGGCTAAGATCAAGGTTCGGTGTATCGGGTACAGAACTGGGGTTGATTAAGTCATACCTACCTGGTCGATCACAGTACATCAAGTTGGGTGACGAACAGTCATCGCTTATGCCATGCCTAGCTAGCGGACCACAGGCGTCCGTCCTTGGGCCCTTCCTATTTTCTACATAAGTCTCTCCGATCGTCGATGTCATCTCATCGCATGATATCAAGTGCCATCAATATGCTGATGGTACACAAATGTACACCGCAGTGAAGTCAACGTTCGATATGGACAGTCACAGTAACCTACCTCGAAGATTGCATGCACGTGTAGTTCTCACGAAACAAAATGCTGCTTAACCGAAGAAAGTCGGAGGCTCTGCTGGTTGGCACTCAGGCTCAAGGCAACACATTGTGGGAGGATGAGGTGTGGCCGTGGCAGACTCCAGGATTCAGTTTTCTACTCATCGAAAGAGCCTCGGCACTATACTCGACTATAATATGTTGTTTGATCACCACGTGCAATATATAGTCAAGTCCTGCAAGTTTCATATCATGGATCTACGATATATTCAACCACTATTGAATCGTGACATAGCCAACACCGTGGTGTGTAGCATAGTATCGACAAGGATCAATGATTGAAAACTCACTACTCTACGGGACGTCTGGAAAATATATTATCCAGCTGCAGCGTGTACAACATGAGTTGGCACATGTCGTGACGGGGACTGCAAGATCCAACCGTGTCCGTCCAGTGCTCGCCGAGCTGCATTGGTTTCTGATAGTTAAATGAATACATTATAAGGTCTCACTGATTACACACAAATTGCTTGCTGCAAATCAACCACAATACATTGCTGATCTCGTCAAAGAGTATAAACTATCACACGAACTCCAGCCATGCTCGCAGTGGCTTTAGGCTTGCCATCGAACAAAGACAGTCTACTTTCAGATGCACTTCTGTGACCGTCTGGAACGCTCTTGCTTTCAATGTTAGGAATCTAATAGTGATATGCACTTATAAATCTCGATTGAAAACTCATTTCTTGATAACTGCTTTTTGTATTTAGTTTGTTGTCCTTCCTCCACACCTCTGATTAGCACAGTTGGCTAAGTATGGTGAAATATAAGTTCAATATACATACTATTTAGATATTATTTTTGTCCAGAGTTGAGAGCTGATTTTTTATGAAAGGCGCAATTTGAGAAAATAATATTTTCATGATCTTTTTCATGTACTGTGACGAAAGGGCATTGCCCAAAACGTTGTATATCATATTTTTCATTTTACGGCCACACACCGATGCGTTGAGTGTTCATATTTATTGCGCCTGTGCACCACTGTCAACGCAGCAGCTGTAACATCACCAAATAATTTGCATAACTAAACATATATAAAGTATTCATTGATCCACTTCATTTTAATTAATTCCTGCTCCGATAATTACTTAGCTTTGATTGCAGTGCACGGAACAAACTCTTCCTTAAGCCTGCACAATAGGTGACTCGAGTTGGATAGAGTGAGATATTGCAGTGTCTTCAGAACTAGTTCTGTAATGCTATCTTCCGAGGGCTTTCGCAAGCACAGGGTGGTGCTTTACTAGCTGAGAGCGTATCTTGATGGCAATGTACTTGTCCGATAGCAGCTCAGTTCCAATACCATTTAGGCAGAAAAATGTCAGAAAAAAGCTACTCTGAAGTACATTTGCAGGACGATTCCGAGCATATATTGACAGTTAAAAAATATATATTCATGTAGACTTTGGCAGGACATTTCGCAATTGAAGGAATAATCGCCGGTAATCAAGACGAAGGTCGGAGTGGCAGCCAAAGAAGGTAATTCGCCGGAGAGATGGAGCGATAAACTCAGCTCGTGGTGGATCTCTGCATCGCAGGATCGTGAAGCATGATGACGACTTGCGGAGGCCTTCATACAGCAGTAGATTGAGCATGATTGATGATACAAAAATTATGATGACGATGATGATTGAGAATGTGCTCCGTTCATGATTGACCTTTGCAAGAAGGCATCATGATTTACGGCCACGAGCAAACATATGGACGTGGTAGTCAGGATACAACCATGCTATAGAATTGGACGGAAATCCCCGATGAGGGGTATACACCCCATGATCGTTTTGACACGGTGAGGATTTTTTCGAACAATAACCAAATCGAACATTAATGTATGTTAATTCGTAAGCCATAGATACATATCCCTCGCATAGACAGACTGTTGCGGCAAGTGCTGTTCGCCATCATCTATGGAGGCCGGCATGGCACGCCAAGGGGGTGGATGGCCAGCACCATGCCCGACTGCCTTTGTCTCTCAAATGGTGATGTTTACACATCGCAGCAGGTACTCATTTAAAACCGAATTGACCTAGGGGAGGCCCAGGATCGATTCAGATAATATTCACTTGTGTTGAATCCGGGGTGCAGGGTTCGTAGCACACCATGCTAACCACCACACGACTGTTCCACAAAAATACGTACTTAGACACGTACATACATACATACCTGTGCAAGTACAGAGGCAAGCAGCGATATACCGTTTTGCATAGAGAAGGATCCAGCAATAGGAGCATGCGTCTGTTCCCTGTGTGTGAGCAGGCTTTATAGGTGCGCACAATTTACATTGAAGGCTGCAAGAGACAGGGAAGTCCCTGCGGACACTGATAATTCCTGATCTCTATGGATCTTTGCTATTAATGAGTGTTTATTTTAGAAATGGGCTTGCACAGACGAGGGATTCTGTAGG